GACCCGAATCCGGGTCAAATTTGACCTGACACTTTTCCAGGTCAAAATGACACTTCCCAGTTACGGCCAGTCTTCCGGCCATTTGACCCTAATATTGATCGCCATTTTGACATAAAGATTGTTGTTCTGATAACACAAGTGCCTATTTTATAGGGGGAGGAATGTTATGTTGATCGCCATTTTGACATAAAGATTGTCGTTCTGATAAGAAAAGTGTCTATTTTACAGGGGGTTGGGAATGTCATTTTGACCCAGAAGGGTGTCAGGTCCATTTTGACCCGGATTCCGGGTCGAACCTGACCCGGGACCTGTAAGAGTGTAAGTTTGACTTTTATGACAAACCATTGTGTCGTACTAGAGGGTGAACCGCCTACTGTCCTACACGCAGCGTGACTCTGCTAACGATCTGAATCAATAATATGTTGCGATGTTTATGCTTTAACAGGAGTCGATGAGTGACATACAGTTTTAGTAACATACAGTTTTAATGATCTGTTTTGTTCTTTGGTATTTGCACAAGTACCCGATTTCATAGCGTTAGTCTAGTTATTGTTTAAGGAGAACACAAAGTTCACATTTGGCCAAAACCAAAACCGTTATCATGGCTGGGAATCCTGTTTTTTTTTTACGGCAAATGTGGTCGAGATTAACGTCCCAGTTTCCAGGACTCTTCATTAGCTGTTTCGGCAAGTCAGCTTAGATGGCTCTTCCTTTCGTAAATGTTTCGTAAATTTTGAAGAGGGTGCTAAGGCCTATGGGCTCCGTACACCAAAACCTCTTCAATGGCCAGAAAAGGAGAGATGGGGGAGACCTAGACTGGTTCCCGGTCTATCCATTGCAGACTTCGAATGTATCCAAAGTTATGCGGGCGGGGATTAGTCTGAGAGACCATCGAAAGAGACATGGAGCCCATTGAAAGAGACATCGTGGCTAATAACTTTGGCACATTTACGAAGTCGTGCGTACTTCGCGTGCGAAGAAGAGTACGTACACACACGCTGTGTGTCTCGTCCACAGGGCTCTCAAAAGTAGTAAAAAGCAACCTCTTGCAGACGCACGGAGCACATATCTAAAGAACTATAGGTCCGATTTGGTTTTAACTTGATATGTACCTGTACCGGGACGTGTCATAGATGAAAAGTTACATGACGTCATGATGACATTATTACATGTTATGTGACTTTACATTAAAGGGGCATTTTTCGAGGCTTATTTCAAAAGAACTAAAAGTTGAATTTGGTTGTAATTTAGTAGGTGGGTTGTAGATACCTAGGCAGGGATGTGTTACGGATTAAAATTGAAGTGCCGTCACGATGACGTCATCACAAGTCATGTTACGCCACATGAAAGGGACCATTTCAAATATCTTTATCTTAATATGATTACGTCATGCTGACGTTATAATATGTCATATACATGTACATCACGTGTTATTGATGAAATTTGAAGTGACGTCGTCATGTCATCATCACGTCACAGTTATTTCAAACAGCCGAAACAGCTTGTGTTTGTCCACTCATTTCAAGTTAAGTTTTAATTTTGTAAGTATGTTCAGTATACTCAAATATTCTCAACCTCCTTTTTTAATTGTACTTTCTTGTCAAAAACAATGTTTCGTTGTATTGAGAATGTTAACATTTGGGAGAGTTTGCCATGATTTAGGAAACAGAGGTTCAATGTGAAGCCTAATCGACGGGAAGTAGGACTGTAACTTATCCAATCCGCCCAATAATCCCGGGTTGCCACCAAGGTACAAGTCAGTTAGTCTGATAGGCATGCCGTGTGCAGCGGAGACAATGTGTTCAATGTCTGACGGTGTCAAATCGCAATAGCTCAGGTCCAGCCTATTTAAGTGACTCATTTTCGGCAATTCCTTGGCCCACATTTTAGCCGATCCGCCCAATGTCGAGTTGCCACTTAGGATCAAGTCAGTCAGTTTGGGCATGCCGTGTGCAGCGGAGACAATGTGTTCAATGTCTGACGGTGTCAAATCGCAATGGCTCAGGTCCAGCCTATTTAAGTAAGTCATTTTTGCCAATTCTTTGGCCCACATTTTAGCCCATCCGCCCAATGTCTGGTTGCCAATAAGGATCAAATCAGTCAGTCTGGGCATGACACGTACAGCAGAAACAATGTAATGAATGTCTGCCCATTGCAATGTACAACGGCTCAGGTTCAACGTCTGTATGTTCGTAAATTGCGACAAATTCTCGACCCACAAATGGGCGGATTGTCCCAACGCTGTGTTGCCGGTAAGATTCAAGTTAGTCAGTGTGGGAATGTGGTTTAACACAACACAAATCGTGTCAACATCTTCCCACTTTAGAGAGACATTGCTCAGGTCCAGCGTGTGTTTTTGCTTCACTCTTAACAAGTGACGGGACAACTTCTCAGTGGATACGCCAAGTGCCGGGTTATCAGAGAGGATCAAGTCAGTTAGTTTGGGCATGTCACTTACAGCCGAGGCAATGTGGTTAATGTCTGTCCACTGCAATGCACAACTGCTCAGGTTCAACGTCTGAACGGTCGTCCATTTCGACAAATTCTCGGCCCACAAGTGGGCCGATCCTCCCAACGCTGTGTTGCCGGCAAGAATCAAGTTAGTCAGTGTGGAAATGTGCTTTAACACAACAAAAATCGTACCAATATCTTCCCACTTTAGTGAGAAATTGCTCACGTCCAGCGTGTGTTTTTGCTTTACTCTTAACAAGAAACGGGACAACGTCTCAGTCGATTCGCCAAGTGCCGGATTATCAGAGAGGATCAAGTCAGTAATTTTGGGCATGTTAGCTACAGCCGATGCAATGCGTTGAATGTCTCTCCACTGCAAAGCACAACTGCTCAGGTTCAACGTCTGAACGGTCGTAAATTTCGACAAATTTTTGGCCCACAAGTGGGCCGATCCTCCCAACGCTGTGTTGCCGGCAAGAATCAAGTTAGTCAGTGTGGGAATGTGGTTTAACACAACAAAAATCGTGTCAACATCTTTCCACTTCAGTGAGAAATTGCTCAGGTCCAGCGTGTGCTTTAGCTTCACTCTTAACAGGTAACGGGACCACTTCTCAGTCGATTCGCCTAGTGCTGGGTTATCAGACAGGATCAAGTCAGTTAGTTCGGGCATGTCACCTACAGCCGATGCAATGCATTGAATGTCAGTCCACTGCAATGTACAACTGCTCAGGTTCAACGTGTGAACGGTCGAAAATTGCGACAAATTCTCGGCCCACAAGTCCGCGGATTCCCCCAACGCTGTGTTTCCGGCAAGGATCAAGTTAGTCAGTCTGCCCATGTCACATACAGCCGAGGCAATGAGTTCAATGTCTGTCCATTGCAATGTACAATTGCTCAGGTTCAACGTCTGCATGTTCGTAAATCGCGACAAATTATTGACTAGACATAACTCAGCCGACCCCCCTAACGATGAGTTGCCGGAAAGGATCAAATCAGTCAGACTTGGCATGTCAGATGAAGCTATGTGTTCAATATCCGTCCATTGTAATGTACATTTGCTCAGGTTCAACGTCTGTATGGTCGTAAATTGCAACAAATTCTTGGTCCACAAATCAGCCGATCCCCCAAACGCTGTGTTGCCGGTAAGGATCAAGTCAGTCAGTCTGGGCATGTCACTTACAGCCGAGGCAATGTGTTCAATATCTGTCCATAGCAGTGAACAGTTGCTCAGGTCTAACGTCTGTATGTTCGTAAATAGCACCAAATTCCTCGCCCACAACTCAGCCAATCCCCCTAACGCTGTGTTGCCGGCAAGGATCAAGTTAGTCAGTGTGGGAAGGTTGTATAACACAACGGATAATGCACCAACATTTTCATATGTTAGTGAGAAATTGCTCAGGTCCAATGTGTGTTTTTGCTTCACTCTTAACAAGTAATGGGACCACTTCTCAGTCGATGCGCCAAGTGCCCGGTTGTCAGAGAGGATCAAGTCAGTTAGTTTGGGCATGTCACCTACAACCGAAGCAATGTGTTCAATGTCTTTCCATTGCAATTTACAACTGCTCAAGTTCAACGTTTGTATGTTCGTAAGTAGCAACAAACTATTCGCCCACAACTCAGCCGATCCCCCTAACGCTGTGTTGCCGGCAAGGATCAAGTTAGTCAGTGTGGGAAGGTTGTATAACACAACGGTTAATGCACCAACATCTTCATATGTTAGTGAGAAATTGCTCAGGTCCAGTGTGTGTTTTTGCTTCACTCTTAACAAGTAACGGGACCACTTCTCAGTCGATTCGCCTAGTGCCCGGTTGTCAGAGAGGATCAAGTCAGTTAGTTCGGGCATGTCACCTACAGCCGATGCAATGCAATGAATGTCAGTCCATTGCAATGTACAACTGCTCAGATTCAACGTGTGAACGGTCGTAAATTGCGGCAAATTCTCGGCCCACAAGTGGGCCGATCCTCCTAACGCTGTGTTACCGGAAAGGATCAATTCAGTCAGGCTTGACACGTCAGCTACAGCCGAGGCAATGTGTTCAATGTCTGTTCCCTGTAGTTCACAGTTACTTAATTCAAGTTTGTGGAGGCTTGTCAAGTGTTTTATATGCTTGGCCCATTCTATAGCTCTACTACCCAAGATATTGTCACCCTTTATGCAAAGATTGGTCCAGGGTTGGTGGCATTTCAATGACGACAGAATGTCCTCAAGATCGCCATTCTCTAAAGGAAATTTCGCCAAGTACACACACTTTTCACGCACGGTGATTTCTAACGTAGGCCTAGTGGCTGTAGATACCGAAGAATCAGAAACAGTTTCAACGGAACCTAGCGCTGGCTGGACGTTTTCTGCTGTCCTACCTGCAAATCTTTTGTTGCCATCTATGCAAAGATTGGTCGAGAGTTGGTTGCATTTGATGCATGACAGGAGTTTCTTAAGATCACCGTTTACTAGAGGACATTCGTCAAGCCACAGAACCCTGAGGTTTTCCATGTAACCCAGTGCGAAGACTAAATCTCCGACCGAAGACACCTGAGAAACGTTAATAGTTTCAACGCATGCCAGTTGTGCCGTGCGGCTCTCGGACCTACAGATGATTTCAAGAAGGTACATGAGACTGCGGAAATTGTTATTCTTATCCACATCGATAGTTGATGGGATATGTGAGTCGCTGGTGAGACACCGTGGGGCCTTACTTGACTGGCTTTCAAAAAAGCAGTTCCGACTAATCGCTTGGATAACATGTGATTGGTACATAGGCCTATGTCGATCCTTATTTAACTTACGGTCAAGCAGTTTTACGATATCGGTCATGCACTTCTCATTGTCACCAGAACAAAAACGAAAGAGAAACTCATTCGAAACAACGCCCTCAATACTTGAACACATTCGACCCAAAATCTTGTTAAACTTTGATTTGTTCTTCATACGTGTAAGCCTTCCTTGGGTTGAAAATTTTAAACTCTGCAAGTATTTCGCTGCACAGTATTCTTGCATTGTCTTGTGCATGAATTGTATGTTCCTGTGGATTTTGCGGTTTTTGAAAACTCTCTGCTTGGTTAGGATGCCCGCTTTTAGTGCCAGGTCCAGCGCCTTCGGTTCAAACTCATCTTCTTGGAATGAGTATTGCTGGTTGGCACTCATGAGTCCACGCAGCGCAGTTTGTCCAATGGAAATTACTGTTTTTGAACCAACTTCTCCTGAAATATGTTTTCTTGTGAACACGTGATCAATTGCCTCGGTGAAGAGGCGCGAAGTTGTCTCTGGGAGTTGTTTACTGTCCCTCCACAACAAGCACATGAGAAGGAGCAACATCGGATTTGTCGCAAACTCACGCAGCGTGATGGACTTTTCGATGGTTTGGCTTAGTGCATTGCCACTAGTAGGATTTTCGGCATAGAATTTCTGAACGTATTCATGAACATCCTCTTCAGTAAACCCCAGAACCTCTACGTGTGTGCAAGGATTTCGGACAAGTGATTCTGACGTTAGTTTCTCAAGATGAGAGGGGCGTGTCGATACACAGATGACACATTCCCGGTATTTTTTTCTATTGAGTGCTTTAAGGACAGAACCAAATGAGACTGGATCGAGTGTTTCGGTCTTCATTTCATCAAACCCATCCAAGAGAATCAAGACCTCATTTGAGTTGTTCTGGATGAATTTATCAAGCTCATCTTTTGCTATTTCTGAGTCTTCGTCTAGAAGTTGATCAAAAGTGGAATCAACAATGTCAGATTCTTGTAACAGGGCACACATCTTTAAAAGAAAGACAAGCTGGAATCTTTTCAGGAATTCGCTTGCCTCATCGGCCCAGTCAAATGCAATCTTATCAAAAATGGTTGACTTCCCCACACCTCCCATGCCATAGAAAATGAGACGTGAGATGAGTTCCCCAGGTTTTGTCCTTAATCTGAATATTTTGGCATACTCTGTTGAGTTTACAGTGTCTCCTTTTTGGCCAGTGACAACTGCTACCCCTTCCCGTGTTTCTAACTGTACTTTAGTGTATATACCAGCTATGTGCATTTGGTCATTATCAACCCCAGGCAACAACTGAACGTAACTGCCTGTTGTTTTATAAACTCCCTTCAAAATGTCCCTAGTCTTGTTACCGACATCTTGGTAGCTAGGATCAGGAGCCGTCGGCCTTGGTTCTTGGTCTTGTCTCTGAATTTGCTGAGGTCTGGGTGCAGGCACTCCTATTTAGATCAAAACAAGCAACATATATTGCTTCATAAAACTGTTTCTGAACCGGATTGAATAGTCTTCCTATGACTTGCGATTTACAATCTGTTAGTAAATCAGAACGCAACGATGAATATATTTGCTCAAGGATAAATACATGAGTGATTCGCGTTTGTACTATACTACTGGGCGAAAACTTGTCAAGTGATGTCTTTATTACATGTATATTAAAGTTTATTTACTTTCTTTCACCGGCAATAACAAATCCACAGAAAAAATGCTGGTAACTGCAGGCGTGCATCAAATTTATATGGCTCAAATCATTATCCCAAGAATGACTAAGATAATCTCGCAGTAATTACTACACTGCAAATATGCTATATCTGGTTCCTCTAATTCTGATTGAAGATATGTTGAAGTTAATCGCGATCATACGACGTCACAAGGCGCTGTGGTTCAATAGTTACGGTTTTTGAGTCAATTGCAATAACATGGTGTTTTCGTATTCTTGGGCAAGACACCTAACTACGGTTGCCTCTCTCCACCCAGGAGTTTAAATAAGTTCCTGTGAAGGTGGAGACAAGAATGCGCTGATCTCGAGCTGCTGCTTTGAAAAATTATCTCATGGCCTGATGAACAGGGGTAACAGTTGTGAAACTATTTGAAACCTTAGGTATAAAGTGCTATTATAAGCACCACACTATTATTAGTACGAACTCGCAAAAATTAAACAATCGTTTTTTTATGCCAACAGCTCAAGTAACTTACTATATTTTTTTTTCTCCAACAGACCATGATTCCATTTAGAAATGCATCAATGCAAAAATTAATGTGCGACTTAGACCTTTTTCAGATGAGGTACTCAACGGGGTGTTATTTGTCATGGGTAGATAGAGGAACAAATTACAATAACGCCCTCTTATTGTGTCTACCATAATTATATCGAACTGGAATATTGTTGTACCAAAAAACAAGTGGCGACTCTCTAGCTCGCAGTACTGACAATCGAATTTTTTTTTATCTTGTGTCCATGTTATGTAGTATACCACCTTCCCCTCCCCTATAATGTACCTGGTCCCTCCAACGGGAAGATGTTAGTGATATTAACTCCACTTGAACCAACAATGATAGGGTTGTTGCTCCCGCTGATTGTGCCGATGTTTCCGATGGCTCCAGTTTGTTGTGGGGAATCTACAATCACAAGCAATAGTTAAAATATGCTTCAACAAACGGCAGACAAAATGATGCATGTACACGAATCCATCTCTTGTTTTCGCTGTTCTTGGGAAAACATTGGTTTTAAAATAAGATAAATCATTTTTTTTTAAAATCTAATTGCTCAAAATGAAGTACCAGGGTGAGTCAAAAAAGCGGAACCCAAACATCAAAAATGTTCTTTCATATATTAAAAAAAATATGTAGCACCAAAAATAATAATGACTGGAAAGCCAATTTCACAAGGTGCTTTAGAAGAAAAAATACTAAAATTGGTCAATTACCCAAAAACCTGTCTCGTCCAAAAAATGCTATTTCAAGAACGCCGTCACATTGTCTTCAAACATCACCAGCGATAAAATCTCAGTTTACATGTTAACAATATTCAACAAAGTCCTTTTGAAGGCCCGTCTTTTCAAAAAAAGGAGATTTTATAAATCATATTGTTTGCCTACCCCGGGTTGTTAATAAAGATATTGTGCACTACAGTTGGTGACAGTTGTTGAAACAAGTAATAATCTGTGACATTTTCTTTGTTGTTCCAAACAGTCAAAACGCACAATAAATTGGGGGGGGGGTGGACAAGATAGTTTAGGGTCATTGCGTTTAAAAGGCGATATTCTTTGAAGAGATTGAGCAATTTGAGCAATTATTTTCTATCGTAAAGTAGCTTATGAAATTGGCTTTCCAGTCATTATTATTTTTGGTGCTATTAATATGAAATTGATTTTTGGGTTTTGGGTTCCGCTTTTTTGACTCACCAAGGTACAGGTACGTTTGACTTTAAAAATATCTTCGAGTTCAGGTGGGGAGGAGGAGGGTGGTAAATGTCCCTCCAATCCCCAGTTAGGTTATAATTTGACTCCAAGCAACTAGCTACTAGTTGTTTCTGGGAGTTGTTTATTCTCCCTCCACAACAAACACATGAGAAGGAGCAACATTGGATTTGTTGCAAAATCACGCTGCGTGTTCGACTTTCCAATGGTTTGGATTAGTGCATTGCCACTATCAGAATCTTCAACATAGAATTTTCCAACGTATTCATTGAAATCCTCGTCAGTAAACCCCAGAACTTCTACGTGTGTGCAAGGATTTTGGACAAGTGAGTTTGACATCAGTGTCTCAAGATGAGAGGGGCGTGTCGACACACAGATGAAACAATATCGGTATCTTGTTCTATTCAATGCTTTTAGGACAGAACCGAATGAGGCTGCATTAAGTGTTTTGGTCCGCATTTCATCAAAACCATCCAAAAGAATCAAGACCTTATTTGGGTTAGCCAGGATGTTCCCGAATCTTCGCCGAGAAGTTGATCAAAAGTGGAATCAACAATGTCAGATTCTTGCAACAGGGCACACATCTTTAAAAGAAAGACAAGCTGGAATCTTTTCAGGAATTCGCTTGCCTCATCGGCCCAGTCAAATGCAATCTTATCAAAAATGGTTGACTTCCCCACACCTCCCATGCCATAGAAAATGAGACGTGAGATGAGTTCCCCAACACTTGTCCTTAATCTGAATATTTTGGCATACTCTGTTGAGTTTACAGTGTCTCCTTTTTGGCCAGTGACAACTGCTACCCCTTCCCGTGTTTCTAACTGTACTTTAGTGAATATACCAGCGATGTACATCTGGTCATTTTCAACCCCAGGTAACAACTGCACGTAACTGCCTGTTGTTTTATAAACTCTCTGCAAAATGTCCCTAGTCTTATTACCGGCATCTTGGTAGGTAGGTGCCTCCGGCCTTTGTTCTTGGTCTGGTCTCTGACTATGCTGAGGTCTGGGTGCATGCCCTCCTTTTTTGATCAAAACAAGCAAAATGCATTGCTTCAATAAAACATTGTCTCTAAGATTTGAAAGTTTTCATCTACGAAGAAAATCATGTCAGTATAGGAAGTGATGACTTGTGATTTCGGGTGCGTTAGTAAGGCAGTGCACACAATAAATTTGACCAAAGAAAGAGAAATGTTTTGGCTTTTGCGCAGTAGTTAGACGCACCCTCATCAAATTTTGCCACATGGTTGATGCACTTTTTGACATGGACAAAACTAAATTCAGGCAAAAAGCTGGCAACTGCAGATGTACAAAAAAGGTTAAGTGGACATCACCATCCCAATAATAGCAATAATCTTCTTGTGGTAATTACTAAACTTCAATACACCATATCTGGGTCCTTCGATTCTGATAAAAGATTAGATGAAGTCAAGGGCGGATCGAGAACACAATTTTTTTGGGGGGCCAAAAAAATTTGTGGTTCCCCGCAAAAAGTGGGTCAAAAAAATTACGGCGTGGGGTTCGGGGCCCGCCTAAGGGCCCCGAACAATTTTTGGATTCTAGATGCTCTGTGGTGCGATCTGAGGCAATTTCTGACCACTTTAACCAATGTTTTTTTTTTCTAGGAAAAGATGGTGTTGTACTCATTGCCTGCCTTTATTGCGATGTCAAAAAGTGGGTCAAAAAAAATTACGGCGTGGGGTTCGGGGCCCGCTTCAGGGCCCCGAAAATTTTTTGGATTCTAGATGCTCTGTGGTGCGATCTGAGGGAATTTCTGACCACTTTAACCAATGTTTTTTTTTGAGGAAAAGATGGTGGTGTACTCATTGCCTGCCGTTTTTGCGATGTCACATTAAAAAAAAAAAATTGGTTTCGTTTTTTTTGGGAGGGGGGGGGGCACGGCCCCCATTGCCCCCCCCCCCGGATCTGCCCTTGGATGAAGTCAAACGCAAATTACATTAATCAACATGACATTTTTATATTCCCGGATCAGATTCGACCCGAATCCGGGTCAGATTTGACCGGACACTTTTTCTGGTCAAAATACACTTGATTGTCGCCTTTGCGGCTTGATGACCCCAGGTAATTGACACTTTACCAAGAACAAGGGCGGATCGGGGGGGGTGCCAAAGGGGGCCATGGCTCCCCCCCCCCCCAAACGAAACCAATTTTTTTTTTTTTTATGTGACATTGCAATAAAGGCAGGCAAGTACACCACCATGTTTTCCTCAAAAAAACATTGGTTAAAATGGTCAGAAATTGCCTCAGATCGCACCACAGAGCATCTAGAATCCAAAAAATTGTCGGGGCCCTTAAGCGGGCCCCGAACCCCACGCCGTAATTTTTTTTTTATCCACTTTTTTGGGGAAACCAAATTTTTTTTTGGCCCCCCCAAAAATTGTGTTCTAGATCCGCCCTTGACCAAGAAAAGTGTCATTTTGACTCAGAAGTGTGTCAGGTCCAATGTGACCCGGATTCCGGATCGAATCCGATCCAGGACTTATATAGAGTGTATAATAAGTTCGATTTTGACGTGTCACTATGTAAAAAGTACGAAAGCCCATTAGCGCCACTGCAAGTATATATGTTACGGATGATTTAATTCGTTATTACGGATTATAAATTCGTTATTACGGATTATGTAATTCGTTATTACGGATTATTAATTCGTTATTACGGATTATTAATTCGTTATTACGGATTATTAATTCGTTATTACGGATTATTTTAATTAAATAATCCGTAATAACGAATTAAATAATCCGTAATAACGAATTAATAATCCGTAATAACGAATTAAATAATCCGTAATAACGAATTAATAATCCGTTATAGCGAATTAGTAATCCATAATAACGAATTAATATTCCGTAATAACGAATTAAATTATCCGTAACATATATACTTGCAGTGGCGCTAATGGGCTTTCGTAAAAAAAGTGAACAGATTTGACCCAACGTATGAATGTCTTGTTAATTGACATAGAAAATTGTCATTCGCATACAATGAGCAAAAACATGTATTTGCAATTTATGCAAGTAACCTGTTCCTATAATTACCCTTTATATTACACATGCATGAGCAAAGACATGTATTTACCGTGCAAAAATCCGGCAACATCTGCTCTTCCGATGTTCTTCAATGCTGTGCACAACGTGGTCATCTGTTGTTCAACACTGGTGGACTGGGCCTGTTTCCATGTTACAAGCATTGCCTGACCTTGCCTTATAATATCGTTTTGGTAATTTATCTTAATGATCTGAACCTGTACTGTCGTAGAGCCCAACTCAACTGCCAGTGATACCCAATCACAACCAAGGCTCTTAGCGACCTCGCGCAGAGTTTTGTCATCTAAACATGGTTCTGAAAACAATGATAATAGGTATACCAATTAGAATACTATGGATGAACCACGCCGCATAGACCAACAAAATAATAGCCAGAGCTACCAGGAGTTTCTGGCTGCCAACTTGCCCACTTTCACAGTTTTGCTGCCAAAAATTAGACGCAAAAAACATTTTGACCCCTCCCTCCTTAATTGACCCAGAGCAAATGGTCTAGCTACTACCCACCTGTTACAGCAGAGGGGCCGGGTACCGGAGCCTCCTGTGGCATCGTGATAGAGACATCAGCCCGTTGGCAGGCTGCTGCAGATTGTTGCATCGTGATAGAGACATCAGTCCGTTGGCAGGCTGCTTCAGATTGTTGTATCATGGTAGGGACATCAGTCCGTTGGCAGGCTGCTTCAGATTGTTGCATCGTGGTAGGGACATCAGTCCGTTGGCAGGCTGCTTCAGATTGTTGCATCGTGGTACGGTCATCAGTCCGTTGGTAGGCTGCTTCAGATTGTTGCATCGTGGTAGGGACATCGGTCCGTTGGCAAGCTGCTTCAGATTGCTGCATCGTGGTAGGGACATCAGTCCATTGGCAGGCTGACTCATGTACTCCGACTTATGTTTCTCGTCATCCAGTCTCACCTGAACACTGAAAAGAAAATATATTTTGGTACTGAAGCATGTCTAGAGAATGACATAAATGTAGTTTATCCTTGCCGCATATAGGCCTTTAACTACATGTAGGAAAACAGGTCTAAATGTGATGTGGCGGGACATATATTTTCTGAACACATTTGAAACTTTTATGGGAGCTTAAAAACCCTGGTGTTTTTTTTTAAATGTGGGTGGCACATAGAGCTGTATAATAAAGAACATATACAGCTCTATGAGGTGACACCGCTTTAGTGTAGGTCTCGATGTGTGCCGAGGTCAAAAGGAAGCTCGGCACCTCTTTTAATTTGTATCAGATCGTTCACGTACAATCTGCCAAGATTGTGACTTCATCTTCTCCGTTAATTGGCGTAAATCGACTTAGTTTGGAACTCATTGTGCGCGGTTCTAGAACCAATATTTTTGGGGGGCTAGCACGGTGGATCCAGAATTTTTTTCAGGGAGGCGTGCTGAAATGTTGACCGGTTATTTTTTCCAGACACTTAGGCCTCCGAAAATCAATAGGTGGGGGTGGGGGGGGGGGGGGTCATGGCATATTTTCATTGGGGAACGCCAATAAAATCTTATAATCATTCACACTATATCAACTAATGCACCCTTCTCACGGCTATTTCTTCTTTAGGGGGAGACCGTTCGCATGTACATCACAATCCTTCTTTTTGCTATTATGCGATTTTTTTTTTACGGAATTTATTTTTTGGGGGGTAGACACAATTTTTTGGGGGGCTACAGCCCCCCTAGCCCCCATTCCCTAGAACCGCGCCTGTTACCTAGTCAGGATGTGACTCTTTCGTAAGCTGCACGATATAGCTGCTTTGATCATGGAAGATATAATGCCAGACATGGGCGTCGCCAGGATTTTTTTCTAGAGGGGGGCAAAACATATTTTTCTTGATTCATCAGATTTAGAGGGGGGGGGGCAGGGACATTTAGACCCCCCTTAAATTTACCACACTATGACTTCGTTCCTCTTTGTCTTTTCTTTTTTCTCTTGTTTTTCTTCATTTATTTTTTAATTTTTTTATTTTGCCTTTCGGGGGGGGGGGGCAAGCGCCCCCTTGTACCCCCCCTCGCGACGCCCATGATGCCAGATCATGCTTTATGCATGATTCGATTTTGTGCGGTAAAAAAGGCTGTATCGCTTTTTGTAAATAACCCCACTAAGAACATGGAACCATCGTCTTGTTGCTAGAAAAGCCTCTCATGAATCCCCGGAAAATTTTACGACACCTCCTTTTTTATATTCCTTTTGTTGTCTAATAACATTTTTTTTTATGTTCCCATGAAAATAAACTGTACCACGGGGTCATATGGCGGCCATCTTGGATTTCGGCTTCGTGGTTACGGTAAAACCAAACTTGACCATATCCTTTCAACTAAAAACCGTATGGAACTAAATAAACACATTGTTCCCATATAGTTGTGACATGACAACATGTTTTGAAGCCCAAGT